TAACAACCCCGGCGTCGTCCGTTCTCACACTCGTGAGGACAGGACGATCGTCAGCCCTGCTGCAGCGCATCGCCGGGCTTTCAGCCGCAGAGGAATGATAATTAGGAGGCGACTGACTCGGCTGAAGGAGGAGGAGGAGGAGGAGGAGAGAAGGAGCCTGGCCTGCAGCAGCAGAGGGAAGGAGAAGGAGGTGTGGAACTGATCTCCATCTGATCAACAAGAAGAGAGGAAAACCTTGAAGTGGAGGCAGCTTCTTTTTTTTTTTTCTACCAAAGGAGATGATGATGATGATGATGATGATGATGATGATGACAGCAGCGGAGGAGGAGGGGAAGGAGGAATGAGCTGGGATCGATACTCCTCCCTCCATCACCTCCCCAGGAGCGGCTGAAACCTGTGAGGTTCTGTTGTGGTTCTGTTTGCCGTGTCGTGTCACATGCTGGTTAAATAGGCCGCCGTGTGCGGAACGTGCCGCCTGCGATTAGCGCCGCTGCCGCGGCTGCAGATGGAGGGAGGCTGTGCGTGGAAATGATGCGTGGGCTGAATGAGTGGCGGAGAACACGACTGTAAAACAGGCGCTTAGAGTAGCGGCGCTGCTGTTAGATTACAGCCAGATTCTATGAGGGATGGGAAGGATGCAGCTGATGAGCTGCCTGCAGCTCTAATCCCAGCAGCCGCTCGGATGGATGCAGATTAACCAGATTAACATCTCTGTTCTTCTCTTAAAGCAGAAATGTTCCTGGATTTATGGGTGGAGGAAAACCTTTAAAGTTTCATCTTAAACCTGAAGGATTGATTAAAAAAAAAACACTTTACAGATGAGCTGCATCCAGAAGCTCCTTCAGGAGGATTCCTGGAAGGAAGTTCATGATGATGCAGGAGTTATTCACACAATCCAGATTATTTCTGGCTCTCTGTCCTCTGAGAGTGACGAGCATCAGGAGCGTCATTATTAGATCAGCTTCTACACACGGTTGTCTATATCTACAACAACCTGTTGGGAAAAAGAGCCATCAGGTGCGACAGCATCTAGAATCCCTCTGGGATCCATGAAGAACTGAATGAAACGGACAGTTGGTCGTTATTTAGGCCCAATGCTGATTTCCATCAGCTACAAACCTGAGAATTAGTTTAATTTATCGGAAAATAATCTGGTAGAAATGAAAGGTGCGTTTGGTTCCTGTCAGGGCTGCAAACGTCGTTTCTTTTTTCAATGAATCGATTAATAATCAGGAAGCCAAAGGTTCCTTAAAGAAGACTTTTGGTGGAATTAAACCAGCTGAAACTCAAACATACCGACACAGAAACAAGGATTTATATCTTAAATACTGAATATTTCCTTATGTTGTTTTACAACTTTGATATAATTCCTGCTCTAAGTGCGTCGCTCTGTTGGCTAAAGGATTATTTATTGGGCTCCATACTCCTGTTTCACGATTCATTAATTACTAAATTGATTGATGATTATTTCAATAATTGATTAATCTGATTAATTCCAAAAAAGTTCAAATCAATCCACTGGACTTTGTTTCCCAGTTTGAAGACGTTTCTCTTCCATCAGGAAGATTTTTAATTCAAAATGTCAGAAATAGCGTTTAGTTCCAGGTTTATATCAGGCTTCCCCACAGTGGGCCCCTGAGGGCCGCTGTCCTGCAGGTTTTAGAGCTTTTCTGCTCCAGCAGCTCATTTCCTTTGGGAGCTGATTAACAGCCTCAATATTTCTGCCTTAGCTGAGCTTGGAGCTCAGGTTGGCGTTTAAAGCTGGACTCCACTGGGAACCCCTCATACACGCGCCTGATGGCCACTCATACACACACCTGATGGCCCCTCATACACACACCTGATGGCCCCTCATACACACACCTGATGGCCCCTCATACACACACCTGATGGCCCCTCATACACACACCTGATG